GTGAGGAATGGAATAGTCTCAGCTCTGTGTTCCTGCTGCAAAGCAGCTACCTGCAGTCAATGATGAGCTCTAGTCCCTCAAACTGTGACCCAGAATAAGTCCTTTCTTAGTGTGCTTCATGCCAGATATCTGGTTACAGTAAAGAAAAAAGCCTAGACTGGCCTTGGATTCATTATGTAGTCAAGGCTGCCCTTGAACTCCTGATCCTCTTGCCATCTCTGAAGTGCTAGGATTAGAGACATGTATCATGACACTGAGCTTCCAAGTTCATTTTCAAACAACATTACACAAAGATATATTCAATATTCACAGCTAGTAAAAGTATCTGTTAATAAAGTAGTCCTGATTCTTCCCCCCCATGCCTTATATTGTTATTTTTTTATTATTTTTGAGACAGGGTTTCCCTGTGTAGCTTTGGAGCCTGTTCTGGAACTAGCTCTTGTAGACCAGGCTGGCCTCGTTCTCACAGAGATCCGCTTGCAGCGCATGCCTTATATTATTAATACCACTCATTTCTCTCATATATAAACATTTCTAAATACTCTTCTAATCAAATGCATTATTTCCGTTGGTTCTGAGGATAGAACCTAGGACCCAATTTTGAATAATTTATCAGCTGTTGGTCAACCAGTAAGAGAAAATCAAATTTATTCTTTGACCATCACTTATTCCCTCATGAATATTCTTCTCTTCTTTATGCAAATCCAAGTTTCTTCCCTATATCACTTTCCTTCCTGATACCCATTTATAAGGAAGGAAGCATTTGTTTGAGCTCATGGTTTCAGAGGATTCAGTTCATGGGCCTTGTCTCTTGACTTTGGGCCTGTACAGAGTGGCGGGCCAAATATCATGGTGGCAGACATGTGTGGAAGAGGAGGCAGTTCATCTTGTGGTGACCAAGACATAGAAGCTCAAGAATTTCTCAGAACATCTTTTGAAAAGCAGGCCTCCATGCAGTTGATAACTTCCTTCAGGGAGTTGTTTCAGTAGTCTGAGAAAGTCTTTCTATCTGCTTTACTTTTGAATACCAATTCCGCAGGCTGTGGAATTCAGTGTTGGTGAGGTTCTTTGCAATGAATTCCAACATCCCTGATATCTGACTTTGTCTTTGATGCTCTTTGTCTCTTCAAACTCATTTGCTGTTGTCAGTCTGTGCTTTGGGTGGTGTTGGGTCTGGAACCCAGGGCTCTGAGCGTGCTAGGCAAGTACTCTACCACTGTTACACCCCTAGCTCCAGTTGCTTTCGCCTTTCAGTATGGCTTTGCCGTTTCCTGTTGGAAGTCTGGCATGATGTGCTGGGTAAAAGAGACAGGAGAACAAGTGTTCAGTGATGTGCTGGTGACGTGTAGAGACAGGGACACATTCTATTTTCCTGTGATCATGTCTTAATCTTTTGGTAAGCCTGAGACCCTGGACTGTACCCCTCACTAATGCTTCTTGGTGTCCATTCTTAGGAGATACAAGATGACTAGAGGGGGCTGGGATTAGTCATTTCCCGTCTACATGAGTGTTTACAGCTGGTTGTAGTTTAGATGTTCTCTTTTCCGTGTCCGGTAGACTCTCATGTCAGTTAGATTATGAGCTGGCAAAAGAGATTCTCCTGAGGGCTGACACTGTTAGGAACTAAATGTCCCCATGTTGTTTAGCTGCCAGAATATGCTGGTGTCACAACAGGTGCTTTCCTCACCTCTTGCCTGAAAAATGAGGGTATTTTCTCTGTTTTCACTGGGATAAATTTCATAAAAGTGTAAGTGTGCTTTCAGGACACTGAGCCTCTTGAGTGCTCAACTTTCAGATTCATCCAACAGTTCATCAGTTTCAGCCATGGCTTTACTACCCTGGTCTTGCTTCCTGTGGAGGCTTCCTGTGGATCTCTGCTCTAGTAGGTTGTAATACTCAGTATCTACTTGTCTATTGACTCTTCTATCATCTCATTCCTCACAGATTTAGTTTAGTTCTCATTTTGTCCAGTGAATTATGTTAGAAGGGAGTAATGACCTCTCCGCCCCTTGAATGTTAAATGGAAAGTTAGAAATCATCCCTCTAAAAATATATTTATTCTTTGAGAATTTCACTCATGCATACAACAAATTTTGACCACATTCATCACTACCATGTCTCCCACTGAACTTTATGTCCTCTTTTTTTAACCCAGTGAGTCCAATTATCCCAGTAAGTACATCTGTTTTAAAACTGAAATGCCTTGTTTTTGTCTCATCTAGGCATTTGCATCTATAATTAGTTTCTTGAAGCATCACTTTATTTGAAAGCAGTAAGTTGTCACTTTTTTAAGGGAAGGCCTCATGTATCCCAGGTAGGCCTTGGACTTCCTGTATAGATGAGGATGGTCTTAAACTCCTGGTCCTCCTGCTTCCACTTCCCAAGAATCCTGAGATTATAAGTGTGGACCACCACACCCAGCTTGTGTGGAGTTGGTGTTGGAACCCAGGACTTTGTGCATGTTAAGTAAGCACTCTGCCAACCAAACTCCAGACCCAGTTTTTATATACTGAAATTGTTTTTTGTTCGTCTCAAAGCAGTTTCCAAGTGGCCTTTATTGTAAGTGGTTTTTTTTTTGTAGGCAATAGCATTTATGTTCCATCATTGGACTAATTTCAGAGAGCACCAGTACTTTCAGACCTCTGAATTTACATTTGTAAAGAACACTTTCTGAGCAATAGGGGAACTGAAAGTAGACAAAAGTGGCTGTCAGTAGGGCTTATAATTTAACCCTTCACTGGTCTCTGTTTTTGGCACAGAGTCTTGCCCAGGCTTGCCTTAAACATGCTGTGTATACAAGCTGCCCTCAAACCCTCTTTCTGTCTCAGCTCCCGAGTGTTCAGATAATGGACATGTGCCTTTATGCTTACCACTTAGCTCTGGAAACTACCTTGTGGCCTTCTAAGTCACTGATTCCCAACTAAGGGGACATTGACCTGAGCAGATTTTAAATCATAAATGCAGCGTGGGATGGAGCACACCTCACATCTAATGGGTAGAGGCCAGTGGTGCTGTTTAGCATTCCTCTCCCAACAGAGACTTCTGGTCTGAAATGCCAATGGTGCTATTATTGGGAGAGATGCATTTAGTCCTTTAAATTGGTTAAGGTCTTTGCCACTTGCCCAGTACCTACCTGTCTGTGCAGCATCTCACTGCTGCTTCACAATGGTCCCTGAAATGTCACAATATGAGATGAGGTAGGCTATGCCTTAAAACTGAAACAGCCTGTAAGTCAACAGCACAGTTGGGACTACCATCCTCCAGGTTCAGTCGTTCACCAAAAAGCCAACGGTTCCTTGGGCCCCTACTTACTTCAGCCACTCCACTTTTCAAAAGCTGGTCATCATGCTTTGTCTTGTGAGTACTGTCACTCCACATGTGTGGAGTATCTGCAAGGTATCTGCAAGGATTGGCTCCAGGGCCTCCTCGGATACACATATTAAAGCCTTTTATATAGAATGGTCTGGCATTTACACATGACCTTTTGGCATTTTCTCCTACACTTGAGGTAGTCTCTACACTGCCTGCCTGTGTATGTGTGCCATGTGAATAATTGTTACATTGTTAGTATTGCTTGCGATTCTGGAAACGGGCTCCACACGTGCCAAGGCTATACTTTCAGCTTTTGCTTTCCCATTTTTTTGTCTTGAGGCTGGATCTGATTAAGTTGCTCTAGCTGACCTTGAACTTGCGGTCCTTTTGCATCAGGCCCAAGGGTAGCTAGGATTAGAGTCTTGCGTTATAAGTTAAGAAATAATGACAAGGGAAACGTCCATATTATTCAGTTCAGGTGAGATGTTAAAACTGTTTTCAGCCTGAAATTGGCTGAATCCTGTGGAAGCTGGAACCTTCTAGAATCCAGCGAATGTGAAAGCCACAGACACGCAGTGTCAGCTGTGTGTTTCTGCCATTTTGGTAGACTAATGTGCCTCTCCTAGCCACACGTTTTTCTCTGTCTTGTGGGCTCCTATTTAATGCCTCCATCTTCAGATATGGTGGAAGCTCTCTACCTGCAAGCAGCATAGCCATTGATAAAGGAAACATTTTTCAATGAATTAGAAGATGCGAAAAAAATGTATAGCAAAATATTAACTTGGTCATATGTAATTGCTTGAAATGAAGGTTTTATATGCTTCCAGAGTAGGCTGGAAAATGGGGGATGGCCTTGGAACTTGTGGGAAAAGAGATCGTGTGGACTCATAAACTGCTTGTTGTGCCTGTAGACTTTATTACTAGGTGTGGTGGCTTACACTGTTAATGTAATGTCAGCACTGCAGAGGCAGAAGCATGTGAATTATGGTGAGTTTGAGGCCACTTTGGGCTATAGTGTGACTTCCAAGCCATTCTGGACTAGAGTGAGACTTCATCTCAAACAAAGAAGAAAAAATAATTTTGTGTTATTAATGACAGATAATTATTGAATTGTTTTCCTCATTAAATTATTCACAGTACTGTCTATTTTCTATTTGAATTGTTCATATGAGCATCCTTTGTTTTTACTGAAAGACCAGTTTTAACCCTGCTTAAGAATGTACTATACACTATGATTTTGTTCCTTAAATGTCTTATTAGAAACAATGTACAAACCAAATGCTTGATGTTTTGTGTCATAATTATCTTGGAATTCTCCTAGTCTTGAATCTCTATGTTTTATAATTTTATTATTCATAAAATGGAAATAGTGAGCCTTTAATAGCTAACCTAGCCCTTTCCTTGATAAAATTATGTAAAGCATAAATAATTGTGATCAGTACCATGTAAGTGTAAGGCTCTTCCAGTTGTGGGTAATTAATAATAATTGTCTTATGAGTTACATCATATACCTAGTTGTCAGAGAATTATTAAAACATTTTCTAGTGTGAACTAAAGTGCATTTGTATTTTTTATTCTGACATCTAGAACTACCCTAAGTAGACTGGGATGTTTTTTTTCTAGGAATTTGATTAAAAGATCTAAAGCTCTGACTTCGGACTTGCTTGACTATTCTTGTTTCTCTACAGGTGTTGCAGAATATCTTGGATACTGAAAAGGAATATGCCAAAGAACTTCAGTCTCTTCTTGTTACTTACCTAAGACCCTTGCAGGCTAATAACAAGTAAGACTCTCTAAACCCTTAGTAAAACACAGCAAGATAATGTCAGGACGTGGAGGCATTACTCCTATGCCACTGAATAATTGATTTTGCCCTTTAAAAGAATTTCCACAGATCACAGGTTGCCAAGAACATGGTCAGGGCAATAGCAGTTATGCAAGATGTTGCTTTCGGAGAGCTTGGCTTGCTTTCTGTGGAAGGAGTGAGCTGATCTGAGATTCTGCCTATGGCAATTTTTGTATTGGATATTTTTTGCCTCTTTTCCCCTTAATATTTTTTAAACTTCAACACTTGGCACTAAGCAATTATATATGCTTATAGGATGGAGTGTGATTTTTCAGTACACCTCTACAATGTGTAATATCAGATCAGGGTAATTGGCATATCCAGCAACTATTTTGAAATATACAATTACTTTTGGCATCCCTAGAAGCCCTACTGTGTTGGAGAACATTCAGAACTTATACCTCCTGTCGAGCTGTACCCTGGACCCCTTAACTGTCCTTTCTCCATCCCACCATCCTACTTATGCTCTCTTCTACTCTCTGTTTCTGTAAAGTTTACTTTTAAAATATTTTTATTTAGAAAGTTTCCATACAAGTATATATTTTATATATATTAAGCATCTTCCCCATCCCTTAGCCTCCTATTTCATGTCCTACTCCTTCTTATTACTCTTCTTTGTTCCCCTGCAGTTTTCTTCTACTTTTATTACACACACATACAATTTTATGTATCTGTATAAAATAAATGAGAAGCAACACCTGATATTTCTTGCAAATAACATAACGTCATTCTTCTTTATAGCTAAACAAGTTTTCTTGTATATAGACAGCACATTTCCCCTGTGCAGTCCTCTAGTGTTGGACACCTGGGTTGCTTAGCTGTCACTAGTGCGGCACCATACCACAAAGTGCAGGTGTGTGGGACCTTCTTTCTAGCTGTCATATTTCCTGTGCATTTTAAAGTAATGGGCCCAGTTGTACCATACAGAAAATGGACTCCTGTGTACTTTTATTAGGAAATCAAATATTTGGAAATTCTCATGCTTACTCTGACTTTTGATTGCCAGGTCACACCTCTTTCCCATGCTCCCTAGTGGAAAGGGTGTGACATCTTGCAAAGGTTTAGAAGAGCACTCTGGGGTGGTGGCAGTGCAAGCCTTTAATCCCAGCACTCAGGAGGCAGAGGCAGGTGGATCTCTGTGAGTTCGAGACCAGCCTGGCCTACAGAGTGAGTTCCAGGACAGTCTCCAAAGCCACAGAGAAACCCTGTCTCGAAAAACAAAACAAACAAACAAACAAAAAAGATTTAGAAGAGCAGGCATCCAGAAAGCAAATGTACAAGACTTATTTTCTAAAGACAAGTTTTCATGAAAGAAAAAATGTATGCTAACACGAATTTAAGAGGGAGTTGGGGAGCAGCTAGAGACAGGAAAGGGAAGGGAGAAATGATGTAATTACATTTTAGTTAAAATATTTAAAAATACTGACCATTTATTGTTTATGTTTGTGGGACTATCATATTTAACAAATAATGGCCATCCTTATTTGTTACTTTGATTACATTTTGCTGGCAATCATAATCTGTAAGTAAAGTTGGAACTTTGGCTCACACAGTGGAAGACAAATCCTCCCCTTATCTCAGGAAAAAGTGAATGTGTGGAAGTTTGTCTAAACTACCAACTCTAGGCTTAAATGAGTTTAGTATAGTTAACTATTTCCCCCCTTTTTTCCTCCCCAAATTGTGCTGTTTAAGTCAAATATCATGCTGAATTTTAATTTAACTGTTCTCATGGTACCGTGGGAAGCATTCTTCATATGGAAGCATTTTCTATTCTCGTGTTTGGTTTTTATTATGCGAACTGTGAAGAGTTGTGTGAATCATAGTTTATAGGGTGTTGTAGGAATACAGCACACCATCCTTTCTAGTTTCCTGGGAGAACTGACCGTCTCCATTAGAGTAGATAAGAAACTGAAGTCTGGACAGGCTCACTGCTTTGATTGTCACACAGCCAACAAGTGACCATGTCTCATGCCACACACTATCTGGCTGGTACCCGCAGAAGAGGGGGCCACTGAAGTAGTCATCCTGAATGGGGGGATGGTAAGATTTCAAATGAGGAAGAAACAAACTCACAATCCTCAAACTGGGAGAGGAGTGAGACCAGCCCTTCCCCTCAGTTTGGTGCTCATGCTGGAGTGAGTTCTGACTGTCTTCTCACCCCACAATGACAAACTGTTTACTGTCTGATGACCAAGAGACTAGATACATTCTTGGGCAGGTTGCAGAAAGTTCAGGGCCCCTGCTTGCTGTGGCTGGGACAGAGAAGCAACCAGAGAAACTGGCTGGCTGCCAGAATCTCCTCAGACAACAGGAGGTGGGAGTTTCCAGTTTCCAGTTCAAGAGGGCACAACAGCAGGGGAACTGGGAGCTTTTCGTGTTCTGAGGGTTACTGGGAATGTTTACTGGGATCTTCCCTTTTTGATTAGTTAGCAAAACTCCTTTGAAAATATTCCCCCGAGGAATTAGCTACGACATATATGCTTTTAAAATTTGTTTTGAGACAGTGTCTCTCATGTAGCTTAGGGCTAGCTTCAGGCTTGAACACATGCCCCTCTTAAATCTACCTCTCAAGTGCTGGGATTACAGGTTTGCCTTACCACATTGTTTTAGGAATATATATATATATATATGCATACATATATATATATATATATAATTTTTTTGGTTTTTAGAGACAGGGTTTCTCTGTATTGTTTTGGAGGCTGTCCTGGAACTCGCTCTGTAGACCAGGCTGACCTGGAACTCACAGAGATCCGCCTTCGTCTGCCTCCCGAGTGCTGGGATTAAAGGCATGCGCCACCAATGCCCAGCAGGATTATATATTTTTAATTTAATTTTTTATATTTGTGAGGGTTTCTTCTGTGAGTACTGTATTTTTACCATTTTCACTCCTTCATTTACCCCTTCCAAAGCCTCACTGTCTCTTTGAACCCATTTAGTATTGCTCATATGTACACGTTTAGGGCTGATAATTCGTTTCTTTGAAAGATTAATTATTTTGTTTTTAATCATGTATATGTCTGTGTGAGTGTATGGCATGTATACATAGGAAGCAATAAGGGGGCAGCAGATCCCTGGAGCTAGAATTATAGGCCGTTGTGAACAGCTCCAGTGTGGGTGCTGAGAATTGAACTTTGGTCCCCCTAAGAGCAGCAAATGTTCTTAACCTCTGAGCCCTCTCTGCAGCCCCAGGAGTGTATATTCTGAAGGAGAGAGAATGTGTGGTGCATCCTTTTCTTAAGTGAATCTTCAGACGAGTGCTTCAGAGTGTGCTCTCTAGGGTTACAAGGCTTAGTATAAGCCTCTCTTTGCTATCCACTGCTCTTTGATGTCCGGTGGATTTGCTTACTACCTTCTCTGTGCCCATGTCTTTTCGTCTGTAAAATGGCACTTAGCCTGTAAATGGCCGTGGTGCTTAGCTCACAGAGCAGCTGAAGCTCCTGTTTGGAAAGTGCTTGCTTGGCTGTTCATGCCTTGTGAGGGTTGGCTCCTGTTCTTAGTATCACTTACTGTTTGGTAAGGGAAAAATGAACGGGAATGTTCCTCATGTAGATGCCCTGCAAAAAACTATTCAGTTGGCCTCTATTTGACTCCATTCCATCCCACAAACGACATTAACAAAGTTCACCTTTATTTTCTCCACTTCATTCTCTTTCATGAAGAATGTTTTTAGTTGTTATTTGAATATTTTCATTTTAGAGGAAGCTAATTTTGCTACCTTTTTCTTTCTGTGCTTGTTGAACATGAATATTTTAATCACTTTCCCATTTTCTCTAGAAGAGATATGTCATAGATTTTTAACTTAGTCCTAATCATATTGTACTTTTATCGATTTTTATACTTTAATATTAAATAATATTGTTTTCCTCATTTCTTAACACAATACCTGAATGCCCCTGATGACCACCAACTTTCTTTGTGATCACTATTCTTGCCTTAGGAAAGATAAACCAAGGAAGGAAGCTAAATGAGGGTGCTAGAGGTCATAGAGTTGTCATAAATTACAAAAGCAGAAGTTCGAACACAAGCACTTTGACTTTCATACTTGCCAGCTATCAGCAAGCCATTAACCAACTGGCCTCCAATTAGATATCTGGACACATCTTTCCATTCTATTAACTGGGACATCATGTTCTATTTTTTTTAATTAGCCTTACTACTGTGGAGTTTACATGTTTATTGGGAAACTTTGAAGAAGTATGCACATTTCAACAGACCCTCTGCCAAGCCCTGGAAGAATGTTCAAAGTAAGTGAGACAGTGACTTTGCTCTTTCCTTCTATGCTTCAAAATTAATTTGAGACAGTGTATCACATAGACCAGAGTGGCTTTGAACTCCCTATATAGTAGAGACTGACCTTAAACTTCTGATACTCCCACCTTCAGCTCCCAAGTATTGGGATTATAAGCTTAGGTCAGGCACGAGGACACTTTATGTTTATGTATTTGCTGCAATTTCAAGCCATTGTCCCGGAACAAAGCAAAAATCTAAAGATGAACAGCCCTACACAGACAGTGATGGTGTTTAGTGTCAAACCACCCTAATCCCCCTAGTAAACTGTTTGTGGCTTTAATTTGAAATCTCATCATTTATTTGATTTGTATGAACGTTTGCCTTCATGTATGTATGTACACCAGGTCAGAAGATGATGTTGGATCCCCTGGAGCTGGAGTTGTAGGTGGTTATGAGCCACCATGTGTGCTGGCAACTGAACTCTGGTCCTCTAGAAGAGCTGAGCCATCTCCGCAATGCTAATGACAATAGCTCTGATGTTGATAAGATATTTTTTATTTTATGTGCTTAAGGTTGCTTGGAAAAGTCATTTAAATCATTTATTTAGTACCCACCCCCGTTTCTGACTCCTTGGATTGAGGCCTTATGTACTCTAGGCAGGCGCTCTACCCCTGGTCCTCACTTTGCCCAAGCACAACCCCATCTCTTCGGTTCCAGAAGGCTTCAAGCTCACTGTGTAGCCAAGTTGAGTCCTAAAGTTCAGATCGTTATACCTATCCCCCTGGCATTACAATAGTTACCACCATGTCTGACTTGTTTCTTTCTAGTACTCCTGGTATTGTGTCGGTTATAGTCTGACTTCAAACATACAGAATTGGAGAAGGAAAAGTATATGTTCTATGTGAAACCACAGCATGATTTTTAAAAAGATGTATTTATTTATATTTTATGTATAAGGGTGTTTTTCTGCAATATATGTATGTGTGTGCACCATGCGCATGAACAGTGAGCTCAGAGGCCAGAGAGGGAGCTGGATCCCCTGAGACTGGAACTACAGACAGTTGTGAGCCCTCAGTGTGGGAGGATGCTGAGAACTGAACCCGGGTCCTCTGAAATAGAAGCCAGTAATCTTCACCACTGAGCAACCTCTCCAACCCCCTCAGCATAGTTTTGATGGCTACTTGATTGCTGCATTATATTGTAAACATTATATTACAGAGTTCACTGAAATGGTCTTCTGACAGGGTACTTCTGGTTTAAATGAATTTTCCAGTGTATCTTGAAAAAACTGGTGACTTTCCTGGATACCTTCTGAGCTTCATGGGATGAAACTTTGTCCAAGATGTGTTATGCTGTTTAATTCAGTCAGTCTTGTCTGTGCTTGGTTATGATGTGAATTTGAATATTCTTAGTTTATCAAGAGAAATTTGAATATTGCCATCCTAGAAACAAGCAGCCCTACTATTAGTTCCAAGTAAGAATCTTATCCTCTACAGCAGAATTTTCTTGGTAGCTAGAATTTATTTTTAAATTTTATTAATTTAATGTGTTTTACCTGCATATGTCTGTGCACCACATGCATGAGTTACAGACGCTTGTAAGCCATCATGTGGGTGCTGGGAATTGAACTTGGGTCCTCTGGAAGGGCAGTCAGTGCTCTCAACCATCGGGGCATCTCTCCAGCCAGGTGGCTAGAATTTTAATCAATGATCAAAAGTGTATTCCAGGGATAAAGTGCCTCCAGTATACCTGAAAATAAATAAATAAATAAATAACCCCCATAGCAGTACATCAAAAGATTTACCTGTTTCTGGGCTCAATTGCAAGTGTCTTCTGGTTCCTAGTTTACATTCTGTGCTTCACATGTTTTGCTTACAGGCTTCCAGAAAACCAGCACAAAGTAGGAGGCTGTCTACTGAACCTCATGCCTCATTTTAAATCGATGTACCTGGCTTACTGTGCAAATCATCCTTCAGCTGTCAACGTGCTCACCCAGCACAGGTAATGTCCTGGCTTTCCCCCAGCTCAACTGTTCTGCAGAGAGCCTTGTTAAGGAGGACTTCTGGGAATCCAAGGTCTCCAGTTAAGCCCTTGATTATCTCTGCTCTACAGGCCAAGACTGAATTCCACTAATGCAACAAATAATTTATTGAGTACCCACTGTAGGCAAGCTTGGAAATACACCAATGAGCATAGTAGTAGTGATCCAGGAAGAGAGGGTCTCACCTATTTGGGAGAGAAATGCAGTTATCAAGTGAAACACTGTGGACAAGTGTTGCAAGAGGCTTGTCAGAAGAATTCTGGGAACTTTGCAATATAATAAGTTAGGGGGGTTAGGGTTAGGGTGGAGGAAAAATCAGGGAAGACTTTGCTTAAGTAAAATTCCATTTAACATTAATGGATTAACCCTACATATACCAAGTATTATTGTTTACATTGAGATCAACATATGTGTAATTGCAAGATGTGTTAATTGCACACATTATTGAGTTTCACTGTGACATTTCTACATATGCATGTCTTGGTAGGATATATCCACTCTTCTCTTACTTTTTCCCCCATCGAGTCACAGGTTGTCAGTTTACTCTATTCAGATTGATATTTGATTTGTTTTGATTTAGGATCAGATCAGTCCATAGTTCAGGCTGCCATCAAATTCTTGGCAGTCCTACTGCCTCACCCTCTCAACTATACACACCACCTGGTATTTCTTTAGTTCTAGTTCCTGAATATGAGACAAATATGCAGCTTTTGTGTTTCTGTACTAAATTTATTTTGCTTAGCATGATAACCTTTATTTCCATCTACTTTCTGTAAACATCATTCACTTCTTTATCACTGAATAATAGTCCAGTATAGATAGAAAGATATATAGATATAAAGGCCCAGGTACATATGTGCGCATGCGCGTGCGCACGCGCACGCACGCACGCGCACACACACACACACACACACACACACACACACACACACACACACACCACAGAGGCTGATTCCATTGCTTAACTATTACAATTAAGAGACTCAGTATACGCGGGTGTGCAGATAGCTCTGTTGAATGTTGCCTTCATTTCTTCAGCTATACACAAAAGGGTTATATAGCTGATAGTTTTGTTTTTAGTGTTTTGAGGAATTTCTACTCTGTATAGTGGCTAGAATAAGATATATTCCTATAATAACACAGTTTCTTTTCCATGTGTCTGCCAGCATTGGTTGTTGTTTTCTGAATGTGAACCATCTGACTCAGGGTGAGATGGGATTCCCAATACTGTTTTGATTTGCATCTTCTTGATGGCTGAATATGGAATTTTCCCCCCACAAATTTGCCATTTGTGCTTCTCCTTTGGGGAAGTGTTTGCACAGATGACTTGATCATTTATTTATTTTATTATTTCTTCTTTGGCTAAATGTAATGAATTTTTTAAAGAAAATTTTCATAGCGTTAAAAAGAAAAATCCCAGGGCAGGCAGGCTATAAACCCACCAGCTGCAGAGAGGAGGGAGTTGGAGAGGGGAGAGGGAGATTGCCATTTGAGCCAAGCCAGCATGGAGGTCAGCCAGATGGCAGACAGGCAGGAAGGGAAGCATCAGGGAGAGAGTGAAAATAACTCAAGTTCCAGAGAAAGTGTGCTCAGGCTCTGGCCAGTAGCAGAAAGAAAAAGACAAAAAGGAAAAGGCATGAGCATTAGGGTAACTCTGTACTTTGTGAGTTTTGAGAAAACATTTCTTTGACATTCTGGTGAACATTGCTTTCCCATTTCATGGGTCGTCCTTTTGTTCAGTTGTTTCTTTTGCAGTGTGCTTTTTTTTTAAATAGCATCTCTGGAGTGGCATATGCCGATTCTTGCTTGATTTTCTAGCATATGGAGTTCTCAGAAAGTGCTCGCTTATACTGTATTTCAGAGTTTCCTCCTAGTAGTTTCAAAGTTTCTCACCTTACATTGAGGTCTTTGATCAATTTTTGAATTTATTTTTGTGCAGCGCATGAGAGATATGAAAGGAGTCTCATTCTTTGACACGGCATTACTCAGTTTTCCCCAGTCTTTGTGTGCCACTGATCCTTAATATTTTTTCTCCTCTCTATTTAATTCATGTTTTCCCTGAACTCTGCTACTTCTGAGGTGCTGATCGATACAAATCTCAAGAAGTGAAATGGCTAAGCAGTAGGCGCTGGCAAGGAACTTAGCTAACTAACACTTACTGGAAGCTGTGTGCCACTTCCTTTAATAATTTGCCCGGATACAATTGGTTTTGAGTTTTCAAAAACAAATGATTGATTGCTATCTCCCGTCAGAATAATCTTTACAGGGCTGGGGAGGTGACTTAATGAGAAAAATGTTTCCCACTCAAATATAAATATACCTGAGTTGGGATCTCTAGTATCTGTCCATGTAAGGAAAACCAGGGCAGGCATGGAAGTGCCTGTCTGTAAGACCAGAGCTGGGAGAGCAAAGGCAGGCACCTCCTTGATGCTCCATGGCTAGCTAGTCTAGCTGAACACTGAGCTTCAGACTGAATGATAATTTGGAAGGCGTCTGGCATTGATCTCTTGTTTTCACATGTATACCAGCATGCATACTCAAGCACATGTGTGCTTGCACACACACACACACACACACACACACACACACACACACACACACACCCCAAATGAGAAAATAAGTCTTCACAGTCTAGATGAGTGACAGATATCTTCAACAATTTTTTATATTCTGAATACTCATCTTTGACACATTCACAAAAAATATTTATAGGATCAGAAATGGATTAAAGGATGGAAGATGAAGTTTGACCACTGGAATCATATGTAAGAAACCCAGGTGGGACAATAATATTGCCAAAACACATTGACTCGTTTTGTGCCGTCCCCCAGACTGGATTCAGAACAGACATAGGTTCTGAACACAGCTCAAGATGGGAAAGAAGAGGCTTTGATGTGTCCTACATTTGACATCCCAGAGCCAGGCTAGAAAATTAGTTGATATCAACCCTCAGAAGTAGCAGACATTTTAACTATGGAAATCAGTATGAAAGTTCCTTTTAAAACTATAATTTTAAACTAAAAAACAGTATCCCTCCCTTGACTATGTATTCAAAGGAATCAAGGCCAGTATACAATAAAAACACCTGCACACACATGCTTATCATAGGCATATTCACAAGAGCCAGGTGCCCATCAGTGGATGAATGGGCAATCAATGTGGCATTTATACACAAAGGAATATTTTTCAGTCACAAAGAAGAATAAAATCAAGAGTTTCTAACTTCTTTTTTAAATACTTCCTCAAAACACACAACCAACCAAACAAACAAAAAAACAAGGATACCGTAGACATAAGATTGTATTGACTATACTTTGTTGGACTGGTGAGATAGTTAAGAGGTGAATGGTGCTTGTCACACAGACCTAACAACCTGAATTCAGTCCCTAAATCCTAATCCCACAGTGGAAGGAGAGAACTGATTACCTTACCCACATACCCACATTCACTCATGCATACACATCTCTCCCTCCTTCTCTCTCTCTCTCTCTCTCTCTCTCTCTCTCTCACACACACACACACACACACAACATACACACAAAACATCATAATCATAAGTAAATTGAAAAGAGAAAAATGTATTTTAAAAAAGAGTGAATTTTAGCATAGACACTTTAATGCAAGTCATTCAACTGCTTAAAGGGAATGTTAGCTAATAATAGCATTGAATATGTTCTGGGCATGCAGTTATAAGACGCTATGAGGAAGTTACTATTATTACCATCTCTGCTTACAGATAAGTTGCTGTCAGGCTTAGGTTGAGTAATATGCCTAAGAACTCATAATTGATAAATGGTAGAGTCAGAAGTCGGGTCACCCAGGTTTCTAAAAATATTTTTGGTAAGATCGACATTTTACCCACAAAGAATAACATAAATGCATTTTTGAAGAATTATAATAAAATATGCTTTACACCCAAGAGCCCACCATCTAACTCAGGTGGCATCTTTCCTGTATTCACGGAATTGCACAATTGCCATACTAAATTTTGGAATATTTTTAGCACCCCTAAGCAAATGTATACTTTAACAGTCACCCCACATATTCTAAAACCAATTAACCAAATTAACTACTTCAATCACTAGGTATTTGTTCATACTGGACTTGGTATAGGTAGGCACATACAATATGTGGCTTTTTGTGTGTGGCGTCTTTCACTTAGCATTTTTGCCTTTTCAATTATATTTTATGTAGGAAACACAATAATGAGTTTGATTATAAATATATATACAATTGTACTTTGTTCATTTCCTTCCCTATATATTCTGTGTATAAGCACAAACATGCAGTATTTATTTTCCTCCATTAATCTTGTTTGCTTCCTCCTTTGCTATCCCTTTAGACTCCCTTCTCTCCCTACAATCAAATCTACCTTTGAGTCACGTACACTTGTGTGTGTGTCTCTGTGTGTGTGTGTGTGTGTGGTGTGTTCTGCATATGAAATGAAATGTAACACTTCTATTTATTGGTTCATTTCAACTGTTAACTTGTCACAACCTAGGACCTAGGAATATTTTCCTATCTTATATTGATTCTTGGTAACTGTTTTGATTGTTAATTGATGTAGGAAGACCCAGGCCACTCCCTAGGCAGGAGTTTCTGAATAGTGTAAGAGAAGAAAAATGAGCTGAGAGCAAGAAAGGATCCGTGTGCTTACTGTTTCAGTTCTTATCTGTGGAGGTTTTGATTTAATTTCTTGCCTTGACTTCCCCATAATAATGGACTATAAGCTTCATTTATAAGCTAAATGAACTCTTTCTCCTCTAAATTGCTTTTATTTGGGATATTTTGTTATAGCAACAGAAAAGAAACTAGGGACACTTTGATTTCGGAGTCTGGCTTATTTCACTAAACATAATTTTCTTCAGTTCAGTCCGTTTTTATTATGGCTGGACAAAATTCCACTGTTTACGTACACTGTATTTTCTTTATCCATTCATTTGTTGATGAACCTCTAGGT